ATCCTCATCCTCATCCCTATCCTCATCCCCATCCCTATCCTCATCCTCATCCCCATCCTCATCCATCCCCATCACTTACCATCTCATTGTAGGTGGGGTTGCAGGTTTTTCGGGCCACTTTGGTTTTCCTCTTGGTTGTTTTTTGAGGGTCGGGCAGCAAGTAGGTCTTGACATAGGGGTCAGGGTCATTGCCATCATGCAACGGTGGCTGTGGGGCAGAGAGCGGGGGGCACCGCTTGAGTGCAGTGGTGGGGTGGATCCCCCACCCCGCTGCCACCAAGCGCCGTGCACCTACCAGCCCCCGGATGTGCATCACCATGATGAAGAGCTTGTTGTTCTTGTAGGAGATGGAGAGCTTCACCTCCCCGCCGACCTTCCCCAGGGGCCGAGCCCACGTGGCATCTGGAGAGGAGGAGAGGAGGGGGGCGGGTGGGACGGGAGCCCCCCGCTATTGCCCTGTGGGGTGCCAGTGAGCTGCCAACGCTGCCCCCGGCTGCCCTACCTGCCGGCTTTGGGGTCGGGTTGGTGCCAGCTGCCTTCTCATCCCGTGGAAGGGGGTGGAAGAAGGTGTAGATGAGGTCGCACTGTGGGGTGAGGAGGTGACGTTTGTGGTGACAGCAGTGACCATGTCCCCCGTGCCAGTGCTTTACATGGTGCAGTGGCCCCCCACGCCCTTTCCCACCTGACCGGTATCCCCAGCACCGTCCCCACCTCTCAGGAGGCAGCAGCCCCCCTGCAACCCGCTAGGAGCACCCCCCTAGCTTCGCACCTCTGCCACCTCGGGGGCAGCGTGGATCAGGTGCCAGATGTAGCCGTTCAACTCCTCCTTCCGCCGCTCGGCCACCGCTTCGCCCCGCGACCGTCCGATGACAAACCTGCTGGGGAAGCTGTGGGGACGGACACTCAGCAAAGCCTGGGGGGCAGGGGGGAGCCCCGAGGGTCTGAGGGGGTCTGTGGGGCTACCTGGGCAGCAGTGAGGAGGGGAAGAGGAGGCGCAGCTTGTTGTGCAGCTCCTGGAACTCCTCGAAGGTGCGTTGCACAAAGGTCACCTCGCCCGGGCTCTCCCGCTGCACCTTCACCACGTAGGTCTGCAGAAAGTGATAGGACAAGTGATAACAAGTGATAGGACAAGAGGGAATGGCCTCAAGCTGCCCAGGGCAGGGTCAGGCTGGCTCTGAGGAAGGATTTCTGTGCAGAAGGGGCTGTTGGGCGTTGGAATGGGCTGCCCAGGGCATGGGGGGAGTCCCCACCCCTGGAGGGGTTGAAGAGTCGGGCTGACCCAGCGCTGAGGGATCTGGGGGGAGTTGGGAATGGTCAAGGTGAGGGTCATGGTTGGGCTGGAGGAGCTTCAAGGGCTTTTTCAACCCAGATGATTCTGGGATTCTGTGAAATATGGGGCTGTGACATGAGATGGGGACCCTGGGGTGCCCTGAGCCCATACGGGGCTGGGACAGAACTGCCTGAGTTGTCCCTTTGCCTGTCCCCAACCGTCCCCACTTACGTAGCCCTTGCTGGGGTTGAAGACCCGCTCATGGCGGCAGAGGAAGACGTCATGGATCCGGCCGGACGTCTTGATGGTGTGTGTGCGGGGCGCAAAGGAGAGGGTTGGGCGGGCGTCAGAGCCTGTGAACTTCATCTGCGCCAGGTTGTGGATGAAGAAGTTGAGCTTGGTGGCCACGCTACCAAGGCTGGACTCGATCAACCTGCAATGAGGCCACTGCATGTTCAGTAGGGAGGAGCCCGTCGGCGTGCCCAGCCCATACCCATGTCTCCCTCCATGGGCTCCCTTTATCCTCTCCCACCCTATCACCCACCCACGTCCTCTACCTGGTGAAGTAGGTGGTGGCATCAGCATCGGAATCCTGCGGCCTCAGGGCATCGTAGACATATTTGAGATCCTCCAGGTCAGAGAGCTCAGGGATGCCACAGGACAGCATCTGGGAGGGGAGGCAGGGGGTGAGGGCAGGTGGAGGCAGGAGGACCCCTCTGCTGTGCCTGGGGGGAACGGGTGTGTGGTCCCCCGGCTCTCACCAGCCCCAGCAGGTTGAGGAAGAGGTGGGTGTGCTTGCGGATCAGGTTGTAGGCCTGGCAGCACAGGTCAACGAAGTCGTGGAAGCGGCTGGAGGGCTTGTCCCCCCCATTGATGACATACGCCATGTCTGAGGTGAAGACAAACGGTGCCCGGTCCCTGCATGGGGGAAGCAGGGACAGAACATCAGCAAGGCTGGGGGTCACCCACCACCAGGACCACAGCATGAGATTTCACCCCACGAAATTGGGGTGTAACCCAATGCTAAAGAACCTCAGCCCTGCAAGGACGAGCCCAGGTGATGGGGAAGGGGATGCTGGAGGCGTTTCTCACCTCTTGATGTTGCCGAACATCTGCGCGTGGCCCAGGAACCTGCCGAAGTCGATGTGGAACATGTGGCCGGTGGTCTTGAGCATGATGTTGTCATTGTGCCTGTCGCAGATCCCCAGCACGTAGGTGGCCACGCAGCAGCCGGCGCAAGAGTAGATGAAGTTTTCCACAGCCTGGGAGGAGGGAGGGAAGGAAGGAAGTTGCAACCATGTGTGGAGAAAGGCTGGATAAGTTGGGAGGCAATGGATCTTGTCCCTGGAGAGGGGAGCACGAGGAATGGGGACCCTGCCAGGCTCCTCCTCACCTTCTCATACTCATCCTCCTCCGGGTTGTGTTTCTGCAGCCAGTCTGCCAGTGGCCGGTCTTTGAAGGAGCCCGTCACGCCGTGCTCCACCTGGATTTTGCGTAGGGTCTCGGCGTTGGGGATCATCTCCACCATGCCTGGCAGCCGAGACAGCAGGGTGAGACCCATCCATCCCACCCTGGGGGCACCAAGACCCCCCCCTTTGCCACCAACCCCAGTCTTCATCACTGAATCACAGAATCATCAAGGTTGGAAAAGCCCTTGCAGCTCCTCCAGCCCAACCATGACCCTCCCCCTGACCGTTCCCAACTCCCCCAGATCCCTCAGCGCTGGCTCAGCCTGACTCTTCAACCCCTCCAGGGATCCCGGGGACCCCCCCCCCCCCTGCCCTGGGCAGCCCATTCCAACGCCCAACAGCCCCTTCTGCACAGAAATCCTTCCTCAGAGCCGGCCTGACCCTGCCCTGTCGCAGCTTGCAGGATGTGGGGGACTCTCCCATCCCCAGACAACACCCCATGCCCCAAGGAGCAGCCAGGACCCAAATCCCCACGCACGGGGGTGACCGAGCTGCTGCAGGGACAGTCCTGGCTGTCCCCCTGCCTGGGGTCCTCCCGAGCGAGCCAGGCTGGCCGCACACCCCAGGAATATTTTGCAAGGAGCGTCAGCACCGTCCTGCAGCTGCCGACACCTGATCCTCCCGTTTATAGCCAGCGCCGGAGGATGCCGGCCGGCTCGGCCGCACCGGGCTGGACGAGGGGCCGGGCAGCTGTCCCTGCTGGGGGGGACGTGGCTGGAGAGACCCTCCCCAGAGAGGGGAGGGCAGGGTGCAGGAGGACCGATGGCAGCTCTGCCAAACGCCGGGCTCCAGCCTCATCCCCAGCCACCAGCAGCCAGCGGCAGGGTCAGACCCTCTGCTACCCGCTGTGTGTGCTGGGGATATACCAGCAGAGTCCCCCTCGGCGGGGTGATGCCATCCCCACCCCACACTACGTACCAGTAGAGCGATTTCTTTTGCATCGCCTCCCGCAGCTTGCGCTGGTCCTCCTCCCCCAGGCTGCTGAATTCGTACTTGGGGCTGAATTCAGCTGCCGGCGGGCTGGTGAACTTCACCTCGAAGGCAGAGGTGGGGAAGTCGATCTGGGGCAGAGGCAGAGAGTGAGTGGGGGTCACACATGGAGCTCGGGGGGGGTGGTGGTGTGTGTGTGTGTCCCCCAGACCCCCATCCACCAGAACATACCTGCAGGATGACACTGTCAGGCTGGTGGAAGTTGGGGGCACTCGACCTGGCTCTGGAGTTGTCCTGCGTCGCTGGCCACAAGCCCAAGAGCTTTCGCCCACAGGTCAGGACCCTGAAGGAGAAGGAGAGGTGAGAGTCTGGCGCTGGGGGCTACTCTTCAGGGGCAGGAGGGTGCCACCACTGCACCGATGCTGTCCCCACACTGAGCCGAGGCGCTGGGGACCCCCCGGTGCTGGGGACCCTCCCTCCCCACCCCGGGGACGCTGTCGCGGCCCCTCGCTGTGCCCGGCGTGGTGGGATGCTCCACGTACTGCCTGAAGTTGAAGAGGGGGGTGGTGACCCAGCCCAGGGCCTCGGGGACCCGCCGCTGTTTGTTGGCGTCGGAGGAGCTCCCCGGGGGTGGGACGGGCACGGCGAAGAGCGTGACGCTGAGCAGCGTCTCCCGCGGCAGACGGTTCACCTGGACGGGGAAGCAGATCCTGCAAGAGAGCAGCCGGTGGCTCAGCTGTGCCCCGTGGCACTAGCCAGCCCTCCGTGGCACTGGCCATCCCCTTGCCCTGGGATGCCAAGCATGCCCTGGGAGAGCCCAGCCCAACAGACGCCTTTGCTGCTGGCACTGGGGGTGCCACATGCCCCTTCCCCAGCATGGGATGGAGATCCCACAGCATGGGCAGACACCCCGTGGGGGGCAGCTGGTTTGGGGAGAACCAGCAGCTCGTGTACCCCGGTCCTCTCCCAGCCCCGGGCAGTCCTGATGCTCTCTGTCCCGGGAAGGTGACCGCGGGGCAGGGGGGGGCCATCATGGAGGGCTCCCACCGCACACTGACCTCGTCCCACGGCCGGAGGGGGCTGCGGGGGACCCCGGGGCTGAGGCTCCTCTCCGACGCTCCCGGGGAGCCCAAGGTGGCAGCTACATCCCGCCCGTGGTTGGGCACGGGAAGGGCATTGTCCCGTGGAGGGGACTGGCACCACTGCGTGCCCCGCCGTCCCGCTGCCCGCTCGGCGCCTGTCCTTGGGGGGCACCGGCGCCTTCTAAAATTATCCTGTCCCATCCCCACCTCCCCGGGCCACTGCAAATGCCAGGCGTGGCGAAGGCTTGGCACAGCCTCTCTGCCTGTTCCCGGGGCTATTTTTGGAGCTGATCCCCTTTCCTGGGTGCAAACACACAGGTCCGGGGAGGGCAGGGCTGACGCCAGTGCCCGTGCTATTCCCGGGGATGACACAAGAGTTTCTGACACCCCAAAACTGGGGAGAGGCACGGAGAGGAGCTGCTGGAGCAGGGGAGGAGGAAGAGGAGGAAGAAGGCAGCATGGCTGGGTATGGCACCACGACCCCGCCGCCCACCCCAGGGCCTTACTGCTGGTCCCATATGATGAGGTGGAAGAGGTATTTGTAGACGTGGGCCTTCCTGGTGAGCAGGGGGCTGCACAGCTCCTTGCCACCGTGGCTGAGGGAGCAGGAGAGGTAGAAATCTTCATAGCTGCAAAGGGAACAGAGGAAGCTGTGAGCTGGGGGGGGGTCTTGGCCTGGGGCAGGGGAGCTGGCACCCAGGGGTTCACCCCACCATGGGGCAAATCCTGCATCAGCAGGGTGGGGAGGATGGAGATGCTGACCCTCTGTGTCTTCCCCAGGCTGAGCTTGGGAAGGGGGCTGCACCGGGGAGGGGGCGAGAGCTGAGAGCCCCCGTCCCCATCACCATATGCCACTGCGCATACCATCACACGGGGGGCTGCCGGGGGGGCCCTGCCATGTGGCAGGTGCCGAGCGACAATCCGGGGAAGGCTGCGGGGCGCCGGAGGTCAGGGGATGCCGGCATTTCCCAGGCTACCCGCTTTGTTCGGAGCCAGTCACCAAGGGGAATACATTAAGGACAGGACAAAGGCGAGGGGTCCCCGGCGGGGCGGCTGCTGCCGGCGCTGCTGCCTCGCACGCCCTCCCCATGGTGGGCTCCTGCCGCCCGCCCGGACCCCCGCCGTCCCCCAACGCGGGGCCGAAAGCGGGTACGGGCACCGAGGCACCTAACAAAGCAGCACGTCGCTGATGTGGGGTGAGGGCAGCCCAGCCCTGCTGCACCGGGGCCATCTGTCACATCCCCGGGGTGGCAGCGAGCTCAGGAGCGATGCTGCAGCCCTGGGAATTTGTGGGGTTGGGGTGGGAGAGCACGGCAAAGCCCGTCCCACCCAGAAGCTCTGGCATCAGCTGGCTCCGAGCATCCCTCACCGCTCCTTGAGCACCAGCATCCCCACATTCCTGCCTTTAGGGAGCTTGGGGAGCGTCAGCTCTTACTCTCTCCATGCCCGCTGAGTATTTGGGGTAGGGAGAGGGACGAACACCCCTGCCCCGGTGTGTTTAACACGGGTGTGAGCCCCGGGATGGGGAGAGGCTGCGCGAGGTGCAGGCAGCTGCCCCTACCTGGCAGCCCAGGTGATGGGGATGCGGTGGGTGGCGTAGACGGTGAAGGAGAGCGGGCAGGAGAGCAGGCGAGCCTCCTGCACCACGCCGTGCTCCCGGCTCCCGTGCACGGCCGTCTGGAAGTCGGCGTTGAAGGTGCTGCAGTAGAGCTCGACCAGGTTGAGGATGGCGGCCGTCAGGCTCTCCACGATCCTCTCTGAAGGGGAGGTGGGAGAGGGGTGAGACGGGGCGGCCGCCGGCCCCGCTGCCCGCCCCCGCCACGTCCCTTGGGATGCTGGAGGGACCCTGGGGCTGGACTGCGGGCAGGTCTCCCCCAGGACAAAGCGGGTGAGAGGGAGAATTTCAGGCTTCCCATTTCGCTGAGTTCAGGGGGAGGAACAACAGCCATCGCCTCCAGAAACCCTCTTTTCCTAACCAGGATGGTTTCAAACGCATTTTTGGCCTTAATAATTGAGGGGGAGGGGCCTGAAGATTAAAAGCACCAAGAACTCGAGCCCAGAAGGGGAGGAGAAGAACAGAAATACCTCGATTTTCCCTCTTGGCCAGAACATTTGGATCCTGTTGAGGAAAAAAAAAAAAAAAAAAAGAAAAAAAAAGAAACCACAAGAGCAACATCAGAATCAGCCCCGCGCTGTCGGTGGGGAGCAGCTCGCCAAGGCAGCCGCTTTACGTAACCAGCCCGGGCTCCTCGGCTGCCGGAGCAGGCAGCGCGGCCAGGCAGCTGCCTGCTCCCAACTATTGAGGAATTTTCCACGTGGTACAGCGGGAGGAACGAGGGAAAGAAGTCAGATGTGAAAATCTGCTTCTCCTCTGCACCTCCCGGCTGAGCTCCCCGGTCCCGCAACCCCCAGTGCCCATCACTCACCTTCTGGATTTTGGGCTGCATGCGGGAGGGGCAGGGGGGCATCTGGTTGAGGGCTGCCGTGATCTCCTGGGACTCCACGGCAGCCAGGGCGTTGCAGATGGCCATGACCGACTGGATTACCCGTTCTGCCTTCAGTGGGAAGTCTCCCTGGAAGGCAGAGTGGGGTTGATGTGGGACCCCCGGGGCAGGGGCTGCTCCCCACAGCCCACACACTGTTGCACTGGGAGGTACACCAGCCCATGCCTCAGTGTCCCCTACTTTCATGGTCTTTCCCCTTCTGTGATGCACCCTTAGAGCCCCACAACAAAAAGGGGAAAGAGTCTGCAGCAAATGCATTAAGATGGCCCCAGAAATGCCCCCTCCACCCCTGGGGCTCACCTCGGCTGCCAGGAAAGCATCCACCTCGTTGTGGAAGGTGTCGAAGAGGAGACTCAGGGCCTGCCTAGGGGACAGAAAGCAGAGCTCAGCCCCGGCCAGGCCAACACCCGGCATGGGGGGGGCCGGTCCCCCCTCCTGCCCCATGTCCCCTCTACCTGCTGATGGTCTGTTTGATGGGTCTCTCCTGCAGGTGGATGTAGTGGTTGAGGGTGGAGGGGCTCTGGTCGTCGTTCGCCTGGAGGTGGAGTGATGCTGTGCTGTAGCTCGGCCACGCACAGGTGCTCCCACAGCAGGGAGATGGCACAGGCACCCCCACGCGGCCCCCCGCAACCCAGCACCCACCGTCCGGGCCAGGTCGCTGCGCACCCCCTTCCTCTTCATCAGCTGCAGGCGGATGTCGATGTCGAACTTCCTGCAGTGCTGGATGTACTCGTGGCTGCCCAGCGCGTGTTTGCTGCGGGGACAAGAGACCACACGCTGAGCTGAGCCCCCCTCCATCCCACGCCCAGAATTCAACTCGGGGTGCCCCAACCCAACGCAGCATCGCCTGGCGCTCGGCCGCGTCCGCCCTCGCCTGCAAACCAAGTTCGCAGGCGCTTGCGTTAGGAAACTCAAAGAATAACCTATTGTTTTCCCTCCTTCCCCTGCACCCTCCCAAAAGCTGTGCCCGGCCCAGCCGGCGTGACGGAGCTGGGAGCGGGCTTGGAGGAGCCTGTTGGGCCTGGATGTGCCCGATGATGCGGGGGAAGCGGAGCGTGGACCCGGGGAGCCGGAGGATGCTCCGGCTGACAGCAGGAGTGAGGGGCGAGCCTCAGGGCAAGGAAGCCCTTTCCCCAGAGCGGGACCCCCAGAGCTCGCCGTCCACATCTTCCGGCCAGGCTTCAGTCGGCTCATTCTCCCCCACCCTTGCGGGCTGCGGAGGGGGGAGAATGAGCTGACTGAGGCCTGGCCAGCACGGCAGAGCCGCGGGCACGGCGCCCAGGGGGTGCAGGAGGCTGCGGGCAGGATGGAGCTGCAATGGCAGGATGAGGCGGAGGGGTTGGGAGAGGCACCCCCAGAGGTTCATGAGGCTGCAGGGGACGGGGACACGGAGACACGGAGTGCAATGGGTGCGTGGCACCGGTGCTGTGCCCTGTTCCCTTCCTGGGGAAGGCACTGCGGGAAGCCCTGCCTGCAGGCAGCCGCACAGGCAGCAACGGGGCCGGCGTCCTGCGCACCCTTGCCCAGTCCCGCTGCCCCCCCTGCGCCTTCCAAAAGCAAATGGGGGGCGAGTGACAGCAGCTCAGGCTGATTTGCAGAGCTCAAGGACCCGACCAGCTCCGCAGGGAGGGTTTTGGCACTTCCAGCATCTCCTCTGCTGCAGGAAGATGTGGAAAGAAAAGATCAGTGACAAAAGAGCTTTATGTCCCGGGGCTTTCTCAAAGGTCCTTTGAGGGAGATACGCAGCACACTGGCTCTCGGGGAAATGCTCGCTGGGGACTGTCCTGCTCCGTGCCCAGGATGCTGTTCCCTGTCCAAAAAGCGGGAGGTTCATCCCTTTGGGAAATGCCGCCCAAGCTGGCTGGATCCATCCCACCCTGGCTGCTCCCTGGTAGCCCCAAGGCAGAAGTACAGAAACGCTGCGGTGTGAGCGAACAGCTTGTACCCCCCACCCCTCCCGTGTGCCAACACACACGTGTGCACACGCAGACACACGCACACACGTGCATCGAGCTGCTGGGCAGCACAAGGGCTCAGCACCGATGGGAATTACCCTTCAGGCAGCTGTGCTGGGCAGGCAGGAGCAGAGCCTGGGCTCCGCTCGCCCTCGGCTTGGGTGCTGCGTGGGCTCTCCTGGGCTGAACAATTCCCAGCCGCCCCTTTAGGGCCTAAACCGGCAGCTCCTGGAGGCCGTGGCAAAGCTCCCGCAGATTTCCCATGGCAGGGCCAGGCCCAGGGCAGCTCTCCAGCAGCGGGAGCTGGCTCGCTGCACCGAGCCGCCGGGAAGGACGGCGTGTGCCTGCGCATGCATGGCTGCTGGGTCTTCCTCTGCAGAGAGCTCTCCCAAACCATCAGCCCCCCCCAAACCCCCCCTCTGGACACGCAGCCTTTCTGCAGGGCAGGGAGGGCAAGGAGGGATCTGTGCAGGTCTCAGTCCCTATCGCCCATCCCCAGCTCTGCAGCCGAGGAGCCCACCCTGATACTCCTGTGCCCCCCCTCCCCGCTTCTCCCCCCTCCCCA